TTAATTTAGAAGATGGGCGCGAAGCGCCCTCTAAGGCTAGTCTATATATAAATTTGGCTTGTCTGTTTTTATGTCTGTCTGTCTGTTTGTATCCAATAAACGTCATAACAGCTGAACCGATCGGGCCCAAATTTTTTGTGGGACATCTAGGGACATTTCATTGTATTTAACTTCGCAATATTCTTATCGATTCCTAATAGAAAATAAAATAAAAACCGATTTTTCTTGTTCTTTTTTGGTTGGTTTTTGCATGTATTTTCTTACAGGGTTAATAGTTGGCATAGTGTAACTGAAATGAAGTGCAGGGGTCCATTTATACGTCCATAAACCTCTCAAACGAACCAAGCTTTTTTTTCTTGAAAGTGTACTCTCAAAATGTCCCGAACTTTTTTTACAACAAAAATCCGCAAATAATTTTCAAAGATATCCAATTAGAGGCGTAAGGGGGGGAAAATTCATATTGTAAAAAGGAAAAACTTCAAGTCAAAGACAAAAAGACATTGATTCGAAAATGTTGTAAAAAAAAATTGCGATTAAAATAATAATTGAATTGATGTTTAAGTGTAAATATAGTCAAATTTTTAAATTTTTTTTATAGGCCTTGCTCTAAAAAACAAGTGAATATAAATAAGTTTAGTGGTTTATTTTGTATCATTATAATGTGTATTTTTTATTGAAACTTTATGAAATTTTGGCCAAATTAATATTGTTTAAAGTTGCAGGCACTTGAAGTAATAAAGTTATTTACTTTAAATATCAATAATCTATTTTTTACGTATTATTACTTTAGGGCGTGTGTAGTTAAAAAGGGGGTTTAAAATGTCTATTGTAGAAATCAATGTAATTACAGATTTTTTCCTGTACATACAATTCAGCAAATGTTAAGCATTTTAACTCGGTTGACAAATATAGCATAAAGCATATTTTTTTTAGAATAAAACTCACATTTTAAAGTTTTTATAGAAACCCTTCTCATCAGGATGGTAAGTTTCTGTAATCAAAATATTATTTTTTTATTACAAGTTATTTCTACACAGTTTACTTCAATTTTAATATTTCTACACAGTTCACTTCAATTTTACTATTTCTACACAGTTCACTTCAATTTTAATATTTCTACACAGTTCACTTCAATTTTAATATTTCTACACAGTTCACTTCAATTTTAATATTTCTACACAGTTCACTTCAATTTTAATATTTATAATTTCGTCACACCACACTACACAAAAATGGTATAGAATTGCATCCCTGAAATAATATACGATGGAAGGCAATTCAATTCAATAAAATAAAGACGACTTTCGTTTTCAATTTCGATTAATATTAAGCTTTTAAACAGCATGGATACACAAAAGCATGGAAACAAAGAGAAACATACTTTTCTTAAATTAAGTGTACACTTATAATTCGAAAAAAGCTTGCTAACAATTGAAACTTTAAGTCCTTCTCATTTTATATATTTTATAATCCCCATATATCAGTACCACCGTAGAATAACAAAGATATAATTTTAATATTGAAAAATGTATGTTTAAAATAAGTCCTGTAAAATAAAAAGAAAAGTTCATAATAATGTTTTCAAGTCTAACTTTCTCAAATCTTGACATATTTATAATAAAAAAACTATTGAAATATATAATAAAATAAATATATATTACTGAATTTTTAATAAAAATCTAAGGGAAAAAAAACCTCGAAAAAGAATTCAAGAAATTCTTATTAGCCTTAAAAGTTACAATGATATTTTACCAAAAAGATGTATGATTAAGAAAAATTATGTAAGAGAATCTATGTTAAAAAGTCTAAAATTCAGATATTTCACTAAGATTAGGAAATTTTTATTTTAAATAACAATTCAAAATACTTATTTTCAAACTTAAGTATATGTATTACAAAAAGTACCTGAAATTCGGCTAAAATCTATACTTTCTTATTTTTACATAAAAAAAATACATCACACATAATTTTATTCATCTTACTTCACGTGTTAGATTTTATAGAAATTTATTTAGAAAAAAAATATGTAAAATCATTCATGAAGGATGCGAAACACTCTTCTAATTGTGAACGACTTTGAGGTACTGTGAATTATTCCGTCCTGAGGTCCGATTTAATGAATAGGAAGAAGTAGCTGAACTAATTATAAATACAGGAGTAAATATTTTCGCAAAAAAAAAAATTTTCTTCCTCCCCCAACTATCAAAAATAATTTTTCCTCTCAAAAAGTTATTTATGCTTGCGAGCAACTGATCTGACCAAAATCTCCGTCCCTACTGAGATACAGTGATAACCAGAAAACTCTGGAATAGAAAGGACTCCACTCCACTCCACTCCACTCCACTCCACTCCAATTCCATCTGAACCTCCACTTGACTCTATAATAGTATTTTACATTTATATCCCCTACCCCGTCCTTTTGCTCCACCAAAATCCACTTAACTTCCATCCACTACTCCACCCCACCCTACTCCACTATAAACTGTATTCATGTATATTGAATATTGGACCCCAGTTTAGTTTGAACAATTTATCCAATTATATTCTTTACTAGACAATAAGTTTGTTTTCCTTTAGTGGGCGTTCTTTAATTCGATATACTTTATAAAGTTTTATTATTTTATTTTGAGATATACAACTTCAAAAGTTGTGCATTTTTGTTGTTGACTTTTCTAACAGACCTATAGAATTGATTTTGAGGATGGGCTCTCCGTACAAGTTTTTTTTTCATTTTTACATATTTAATGAACTTTTTTAGACTTTGAAAATCGATATCTATATAATCAAATGTTTTTTATTAAATAAAATATTTGATAAACTTATTTAAAAGGGTAGTAGTCAGGAATTTGTCCAGGGCGGGGGGGCCAAAATTTATTTTCTGTCCAGGGGGGCTCAGTATCCGATGAGACCTGAAAACTCCCTGAAATCCATAGATTTCACTGGTCCAGGAGGGGGGCCTTAGCACCCATACCCCCCCCCCCCCCCCCCCCCCCCAACCTGCATGGTAATAAAGCGACGATTTCTCAATTTTAATAGTATTCCTGTTAAAATTACTGTTCCAGGGTTTTCAGAATGTGGTTTACCATCATATACACCTTCAAAATTGACGGGGTATATTGAGAAAAGTATACAAATTCTGCTTAATCAAAAACAACAAATTGTTCAAAAGTTTTATGCATCCGTCATTAAAAAGATCCAAAGAAGGCAAACCACATTTTAGAAAACTCGCAAGTCACAATTTTTATGAAACTATTTTGTATTTTATCATTCTTTCTCACTTCATTGTGAATTTCATAATGAACATTTCCGCCCCCTGCTCGGGAAAAAATTAAATCAAAAAGGCTTGAACCCTCTCGATGAAGAGAAAATTTCTGTCCAAAAATTTTTTAACACTGCAAACCAAAATAGCGGTGTTTAAAAGATATTTTTTGACTCAACTTTAACATGACAATTCTTCTCTTTCTCAAAAGTTTTCAGAATTCTTTATTTTTCTTCTCTCGGAGTTATTTTTGGATTATAGTTTTAATTTCTTTGCCAAATTAGCCTAATACAATCTTTTCCGAGACAGTTCATTAGTTTGAAGTCAAAAAATTTCTTTTTGCATTTTTTTTAACACAGCCTGAAAATTCTTATTAAATTGATAAATTTATTTATTAATAATAAAAATGTCCCTTAAAATCCACATCGAACTTATTATTTCTCTCAACTTAATAGTTTCAATTTCTCTATCTAAAAAACAATAATTAACAATTGTCTAAAAACGTCTATAATTCACAAATAAATAAGACATAACAATTTATATTTGTTCAACCCTAGTCTCGGTACAGCACGTTTAAACAGTGTAAGACAAAAGAATAAATCACAAAGCTGTAGTTTCATAAACATGAGAACGTGTAGGCTTCAAAGAGTCGAAAAATGACCCTGAAAACGAGCATAAGACCCCCCAAAAATAGACCCAAAAGCGGTGCAAGTAGAGGAAACACTCGGAGAGTAAAGGTAGGAATAATCACAGAGTTTACCGTTTGATGCGATCCAGTAGATTTGGAAATCATGAAGACGAGGTTGCAATGCCGCATTTTTTACAGGATCTCATGTCGCATTTTATATATATTGTCTCGCACAAAATCAAAAATAAATTTATTTGTTTGCAACGAATTGCAAAATTAAAGAGCTGCTCATTCATTCTCGGCTACTAAAAGAAACAAGTCACTGGATGAAATTCACTTGGAAAAGCCGGGATTTAAGAGTTTTGGCTTTGACACATACTTCATTTTTACACTTTCTTAGTCTCCTCACAGCTCATCGTGCTCGTTTGTGTCTTCGTCGTCCTTGGCTTCCTCCTCTTCATCATCAAGATCTTCATCATCCTCATCAGCCTCGTCCTTCTTAGCCTCTTCTTCGGCAGCAGCCTTTTCAAGCTCGTCCTGAGCATCCTTCATCTTCTTCTCTCCAACCTTGGTCACAGCCCATAAATCCTCTCCGGCCTTCTTGGCCGCGGCGGGATCGTCGGTGATAATAAAGTTGTCGAAGATGGTTCCAGCCTTGACCTGCCATAAGTCCAGACCGATCTTGCAGAATTCGTCGTATTTGCCGAGATCCTTGGCATCTTCAGGGTTGTACTCAGGGTTGTCAATCTCTGGGTGGATCCAGGGTCCTTTGTAGGCTGGGTTATCAATCTGGGCTGGCTTCCATTCTCCCTTGTACTCAGGGTTATCAATCATTGGGGGCTCCCACTCTCCGTCCATCTCATCATCCCAATCTTCAGGTTTGGTTGCATCAGGGTCGGGAATATGTTCAGGTTTCTCCCAATCCTCGGGCTTAACATCCTCAGGGTCATCAATCTTTGCTCTATCATCCCAGTCTTCAGGCTTCTTGGCCTCGGGATCCTTGATTTTCTGGGGAGGGAGGAAGTCCCAGTCATCGACCAGGGTTCCGCTCTCAGCCTTCTCGTTGTCGATGAGAACCTCGTAGGTGGAGTCAGGGTTCAAGATCAGGGTGTAGAGATGGGTGAAAACATCGTCCTTACATCGGATATCCTAGAACAAAATGGAGTTAAGTACACGTGAACCTACTTCAGGATTAAATTTCATTCCTCAGTAATGTTGTCAGAAAACAAAGCACTGGGTTAAGGTAGTTAAAGCAGTAAAGATAAGTGTTGAATTACACTTGCATAAGCTTTAACAGAACAATTAAAATTAAAATATGTAAAAATAATAATTACCTTCTTAATCAAATGATTCTTTCCCTTATGGCTGAAGATGACATGGACTTTCTTGGTTCCCGGTCCGCAGATGTCAGGGCCGAACATAACATTGTACGGGGAATCACCGTGCATGTCGGTCTGGTCGAGCTTGCAGTCGAACAACTTGACGTATCCACCCCCGCAATCAATGTTTTGCTCGTGCTTCACGGTGAACTGAACAACCAAGGGCTTGTCCCTGAACAAGTTTATCGTTATGGGAAATGGTAAACACTACCATTTTCTTGGAACACTTGTGAAAATCTCACTTTCAAAAACTTTTAATACATAAAAAACAGGATTCAAAGAGGTACAGACGTTTGGGTTTCTGGTAATAGAAGTCAAGGTTCTAAACACCCCCCCCCCTAAAAAAAAATACACTGTTTGATCAGGAATAAAAATTAGAGCTGAACTAGAACTTCTAGAAATTCAGTTTTTCTGAAGCTTATTCAAAATGTTAATTTTAAAAAAAGATACCACTGAATTTCCAATCATACTATTACCAATACCTGTTTGAGAAAGAAGTATGTTCTGCGGAAAGAGCGTAGAACTTAGCATCCTGGCTGGTTTGAACTCCCTTGTCAGCTTCGGCATCTCCGTAGAACTTTCCAGCTGTTAACACAAACTTTCCTGCTTCATCACCCTTGTGCGTGGACTGAATCCATCTAAACAGTTGTAATTCAAATATAAACAAAAATTAAAATTAAAAAAATATGAACTAAGAACAATGTGAACAATTGTGAGAAATGATACAAATGATGAAGAAAAATAATAATGTTAAATTGACAAAATTTGGTCAAATTAAATAACATTCTGATTGTAAGTCTCAAACTTGTTTGTGCCATTGGACGACTTTAGTTGCATTACGAAATTACAACATTCTTAGTGACAAAAAGCATGATTAATACAACCAATGATTGCAGTATTCTGAGCAGCCAGGCACAAAACAAGGGGGGGCAAGGCCCCCCTAGCCTGATTAAGGGGGGTATTCCCCTCCCTTAAGAAGGCTTGCCCCGTCCACCCTGTTTTGCAATTTAGCGATTCATGAATTCCTGGGAAAGGGAAATGGGGTTTATTAAAATTTTTTAGATATTTGCACTATCAGTTCAGCCTCTTACTGTGATATTGGTTTAATACTGAAGTACACTAATGAATTATTCCACAATAGGAGCCGGGGGGGAGGGATATTTAAAATAATTCTTTACCTTGATTCCCATTTATCTCCATCACTAAAGGTTTCTTCAAAGAAAACTTCCGAAAGCGCAGCGCCAAATAGCGCGCAAAGGATTAATACTTTCATTATTTAAGTCTAGAAAAATTCACACAAATTAAAAACAACTTAAATATCTCTGATAGTATGACAAATATCAACAGATTAAGAACATGAATCGAAAAATAATTACTTTTATGATATTAATAATTTAAGTTTATTATCAAAAACTATTAGTATTTTAAGAACTTATCGACGAAAGAAGAGAATGCGACTACTTCTTGATCTGTCCGTATCTATATTGACGTTAAGACCGAATACTGTAAAGGCTGCCAACATGAAGCTTCTGATTGGTCCAGCAAGGCACACACGGAGCTCTCTCATTGGTCCACAATTCATACACCGGCACCACATACAACTTGCAGGGCTCGGCACTGCCTGACTCGGCTTATCTTGGGTTGGGAGAATTGAGGCAGGGGGGGACTCTTTCATTTACCCTTTTATATATAAATGCATAGAGAAATTATGCCTCCGGTATTCTTAATATGCAAACGGAAGAGAATTTTTAAAAAAATTTCAATACACTCAGATTTTTCTGTTCTACAAACATAGATATTGTTCAGTGTTCACTCACGCAAAAAAGTATTAGATTATTACAGATTTTAAATACATAAAATTATCAAAGAAAGATTAAAATCATAGGAAAAATTAATTGTCAATTTCTTATTCTTTATGAATGATTGACATGCATTTCTACTTTATTTGGTAAATCAATAAAAATAAACATAAATATTGAATTAAACATTAACAATATTTTTCATATTGGAAAAAATAACACTTTATAATGGACTTTTAATAAAATATAATTAACAAAAAGTTTATAAAACAGCTGCTGAAACAAATTCATTTTCAACAATTTTGAATATCATATCCTAGAAGAATGTAGTACATAATTTTATACTATTTGATAAACTTAAACTTAAACTTAAACTTCTTGTATTCATTTTTTTCTTTGCCACGTTTCAATTTTGTAAACTGTTCTCTTATTTCTAAAACAAAAAGTTATTTATGCTTGCGAGCAACTGATCTGACCAAAATCTCCGTCCCTACTGAGATACAGTGATAACCAGAAAACTCTGGAATAGAAAGGCGAATTTTCGACTCAATTTATGACTTCAATTACTGCAATGAACAAAGGTCACCACAATTGTGCCGTGTAAAAAAGTCTAATTCACTCAATAAGTAGCTTAATAAGTAACTAGTAAAACTACGGAAAGCAAATATTTGTATAAGTTTTAATTTGCTGAATTGAAGAAAATAACATTTTTTAAGGGAAAATTAATGAATTTTCGCCTTTCGGTAAAAAAGTATCAAAAAGAAGAAACAAAATACAAATCCCTTTATGGATATCCAACTTATTCTTTATTCTTAATTTCCTGCACACAGTTAATCCTTTCTTCCTGTTCATTAAATCCGACTTCTGTTTTAACTTGATTAGAAAAACTCGAAGGCTACTTTAAACTACTTGAGCTTAAAATCAAAAAACCGGTTTCCAGATTTACAGTGCGCCGCCTTGACGAATAATTTGCCAAAATCGTCAACTTCCTCGATAACATCCAGCATCTTCAACTCTGCAGTTAACAGATATTATTTCAATTTTCTCTGCTTTTTTTGTCAAAATAATTATGTTTAAAAAAATTCAGTTCAACAATAGTACAGATAAAAATCAATATGATTTAAATTTATTTTAAAAGCTTGTGTTTCATGTATGTTCAAAATGAAATCAAATGAAATCCAATGAAATCCAATGAAATCCAATGAAATCCAATGAAATCCAATGAAATCCAATGAAATCAAATGAAATCAAATGAAATCAAATGAAATCAAATGAAATCAAATGAAATCAAATGAAATCAAATGAAATCAAATGAAATCAAATGAAATCGAATCAGGCTTTTATGGATGGTTCTACTATCCACCCCCCAGACTTTAAATGAATTTACTAATACAAGAATGAAGCGAGGTTTTATAACTTGCACCATTTTTTAAAAAGTAAAAGAAAAAGAAAAGAACATAATAATAATCTGCCTAATGATGAGAGCTGAGGATGAATATCCTTGAGTCTGTTCCCAAGGCACCAACCGAGGCTGACATGAAAGGATGGAGGATAGTAGAAGGGAGGCAGGGAGAAATCTCGGAGGACAACATCAACAGCCTAGACAATTTAAATATGTAACAATCTAAATAAAAAATCTGGAATTAAAAAATTATGCAAAAGGTTAAAAATATAAGAAAATAGAAGTATGAAAACGGGAAAAAGGAAAAAATATTTTAAACAAAAAGATCCACCACACTGCATAAGGAGTAAAATTATTTTGAACTTTTTTTTTACTAAAGGAACTAAATACTATGCACACGATTCACTGCGGTCTGATCAAGCATGAATAAGATATTAATCAGGGAGTAAGGGATAGAAGGGAGATATAACTGACGCGGTTCGCCCTACCATATGATTATACAATAATGCTTTGTAGACGGTACTCCATTTGTATAAGAAATATTTGTCTGATGTACAATCACCGCGTATACAATAACCTATTCTGAATATTTCTTATACAAATGGAGTACCGTTTGCAAAGCATGTATAATCATATGGTAGGGCGAACCGCGTCAGTAATATCTCCCTTCTATTCCTTACTCCCTGATATTATTTTTTATAATTTTGAGAACTGATTATTTTCCAATGTGATTTATCTACTAAAATTAAATGCGCATTTCTACTGCACGAGATAACGATCATTATCTCTTTATAAGTTATTTTCAAATATGGTTTCTCTTTTCAGTCAATTGAGCATTTATGCTTTAGAAGCAGAATGTTGGAAATTGTCAGAATTAAACACATTTATTGATCAGTTGTGAACCAACGGAGTTAGAAAAATAGACAAAGTAAGTTCACAAGACACGGTACACGCTACACGCTACACGGTACACTGTACGCGGTACACGGTACACAGTACACCGTACGCGGTACAGAGTATACAGAATATAGTACACAGTGCACAGTAATCAGTACACAGTACACATTACATACACAATACATACAAATTTAGTACACAGTATTTAGTACACGGTACACAGTACACTGTACATGGTACACGGTAAAAAGTTAATTTACTTTAGATAGTTTACTGAGTTGTGGAACTCCTCCCGTTGCTTCAAGTCCAACAAACGTCCTTGTTCTCTCATCGTTGAGGTAGACAGCCAACTTATCCAGCTTAATGGTGAACCTGTCCACGTCCTTGAACCCCTGGCTGATCCCCTGAATCACAGGGTCGATCCAATGATGCCTGAGTAAACCAACCTCTAATACAGAGCTGGTAACTTTTAAATGAAATCCACAAGAAGGAACAAGCGTGTTGCATTTTAAAGTGTTAATGTCTAGGGCTAAATAAAAGTATAATTAAGTTTATGAGGTAAAACCAAAGACCAAGGCGTCGCAACCAAGGATTATGGAATAAAAGGGAGATACAACTGACGCGGCCCGCCCTACCATATGATTATACATGCTTTGCAGACGGTACTTCATTTGTCTGATGTACAATTACCGCGCATACAATAACCTATTATGAATATTTCTTCTACAAATGGAGTACCATCTGCAAAGCATGTATAATCATATGGTAGGGCGGGCTCCCCCAGTTGTATCTCCCTACTATTCCATAATCCTTGGTTGCGACACTTTGAAGTCATTTGATGACTAACTTTCAGAGTTGTCTTTATCTCAGTGTTTAGAACAGTTGGTTCCTGAGACTAACAGTTCTGCTGAGTGAAACATGAGTATCCTCGGTAGGTTCAAGATCCAGCTCCTTGACTAACCAGGATCTAACCTCGTCAAGCTCCAGGTCGGATACATCTATGTAGATGAAGGATGCCCAGTTGTTCTTCTCGTGAGGGAAGGAACGGACTCTACCTTTGTGGAACACAGCTGAGTCAAGGGCCTGGAAAAAAAATATGAATGATAAATTTACCTAAAATATCCCCCCCCCACATCCTCTACTTTTTTTTGCCTTATTGATGTTAGAATATATATCCGCTGACGAAAGTTTTCTTTTCTCTCGTATTTTTTTTTTCATCTAGTTTAAGAATTCCATTATTACATTATCTTCATAGATGACTATTATATCATATTTGTGAGGTTCCATTAGCACAAACCTGGGACTTTTTTATTACACTCTCTGACCTTGATATTATGTGGAAATTCTTGCACGATAGGTTATAACTACTATGAAACCGAATAAATATGATACACAGTGTCCCATATCTTATTGGATTATCTCTAAGCGTTAACCCAAAATGCGCACATGATACTAGACTCGAAGTTTTCCGCAGTAAAATGTTTATAATAGCCTTAAATATTTTTTTAAGATGATTCATTCTGATTAGTCCCTTTAATCTCAATTTAATCTAATATGATGTGGGACACCCTGTATAATAAATGTTCCTTCACATTTTAATCTTGAAAAAGACAGAACTCACTGAAAAACTAAGACAATACCTCTTGTTCCTCGGTTTTGTCGAACATAGTGAGTACTGTTGAGGGGAGAGGGATGGATTCCTGAGGCTCATCATACTCCGGGTTGTGTGAATTATCCAGGACAGATTCACTCCTGGAGAACTTCGTCTTTACTTTCCCACTTTGGGCGGCGGCAGGTCGCTTGGTCCTTGGCGGGGGTCTGGTTCGTTCCGTTCTTGTGTGTTGTTTTTTCTGTTGCGGATTTTTGTTTATTACAACGCTGATTCCGTCGTCGGAGTCCGAATCTGTTCCGTCGGAGGAGTAATCCGCCAGAAGAGAGAGGGCCATCTTTACTTAGTACATTTTAGCTTTCTCTGAAAAAAGTTTTTAATATTTAATTGCTGATAAAGATATCTATTTATTTGTACATTTTCTACAATAAAATGCCTTGCAAATCTTTGGTTATAAAAAATATAGATTTCATTTTTTCTAAATTAAATAAGGGAGGGTTAGCACAAATTAAAGTAACATTAAAAAAGTTTTACACATGCTTCAAAGTTAGCACAGTAATTAATCATTAGTCTATAGGTTATTTGTACTGATGAGTATTGCAAAAAGGGGGGATATTGAAATATGATTTTTTTTTCTAAGTGTGTTTGCTAAAAAATAATCAGAGGTCTAGGAAGTACCATAATCAAAGTCATCATACATCCATTTTTAAATGTTAGCGAAACCAACCTTTTTATATCTTGATAAAAGATCAAATCAAATCAAAATCAGGGTTAAATATTTTCAAATGGATAAAAATTCTTTTGCTATGAAAATAAATGTAAAAAGACCGTACATAACAGGGTCGAACAATCAACTACATAAAGATGTCTACAAAATAGTAATTAGATCATATTTGATCAAAAGTTTTAGATTTATAATTTGTATAAGCGGCATCGTTCAGCTTTTTAACTTGATATATTTGATAAATCCAACAGAATTATTGTGCCTGGGGGTTGGGCAATGTACATGAGGGGGTATACATTTTCTTTAAATACATCCCCATTCCTTGACAAAAAAGTGTTACAATTTTGGGCAAAAAAGTACAGCTTTTATTCCTGACATTTAAAGGTAATGGATGATTTTTTTTCGGGGGGGGGGGGGGCTTGTTTAAAAAGGTTAAAAGACTTGAATTTGCAAGATGGATTATCATTTTACATTAACCCCCCCCCCAGCATCAAAAAAACATTAATCCCCCTGGTGAGGGTGGATTATTCTAGAAAATATATACCCCTCTACTGTGCACTTTAATACATGATCAAGGATGGATAAACAAGGTTGGAATGTTAGGTTTAAAAATATTCTATTGTACAATTAATTAGTTTAGGTAAATATTGTAAATATGTAAATTGATTTATGGATTATATATTATTAATTCTGAACAGTGAACATCTAGAACAAATATGTATCTAAGAACAATATGCATGGAACTCTCATATCTTTGTGTTTTAACAATAGTGTACTGTAATTATTGGAGGAGTATAAACAAAGCCTCAGGGGTGTATATTTTCTCGAAAAATCATCTCCCCATAAGTTAAACATGTTTGCGCAGGGCGTCTAAAAATGCTAAAGGTGTTTTCCCGCTGAATTGTGGTAAATAACTGATTTTCAGGGGGAAATAACTGATTTTCAAGGGAAATAACTGATTTTCAAGGGAAATAACTGATTTTCAAGGGAAATAACTGATTTTCAAGGGAAATAACTGATTTTCAGGGGAAATAACTGATTTTCAGGGGAAATAACTGATTTACAGGGGAAATAACTGATTTTCAGGGGTAAATAACTGATTTTCAGGTGTAAATAACTGATTTTAAGGGGTAAATAAATAAATTTGTGGGTAAAAAGTGTCAAAAAGAATAAAAAACTTGCTTTTTGATTTTTAATTTTTCACCCCCCCCTTAATTCTGAAAAATCTAAACCCCTGGAAAGCCCAATCTGAGGGGTTGTTTGCATTTCTCCCAGAAACTGCAGTACACTGAATTAGTAAACAAAACTATGGAAGTTCCTAGTATATCCCTTAGTTTGCATCTGCTAAAAGAACAGTAAGCGCAATGCAAAAGATGGCAATTACCCAATTTACAATGGTTGCCTTGAAACCTTTATCTGATCAATAACATTGAAAGATATTGTCGTTTTTCTAGATTTAAGTGTATAATTCTGATAAATCATACATGTTTTCCTGCAGTAGAAATAATTGAAACTAATCTGTTTTCAAAATTATAAACATTGATATCTCATTCATGCTTTATCAGACAAAGCTTTTAAGGTTACCGTTGTGAATCAAGCATTGTCATCTTTGCATGAAGGGTCACTTGCACTTACGATTACAGTTTATTGAAATAAAAGATGAATAGCAGCTCTGGGGAGTGAGGATATCTACGCGATCGTTTCATTAGAAACGATCATTTTATACTGATCAATTGAAAGCCTATCTTTAATCTTATTGATTCTGGCAATTGAAGTTCAGTCAATATTACGTTTTTCAAATTAAAATCTGTAAGTTTTCCATGAAACAGACTCAACTAATTAATAGCATCTGAGTAAACGGTATTTTTGGATTCTTTGTTAAGTTTGATTAGAAGGACAAGTTTATAATCCAAGATGTCTAATGAATTATCTACTTTAGTTAAGTATTAGTCAGAAACCCCGGTGTTAAAACCGAAAATCGTCACTTCAAATCGGAGAATGAAGCTTGAGACCAACAAACAGTACTTAAATTTGAAACTGGCATTAACTGTGTTTAAAGGATGACACAATGCTTCTTCTTCTTATTTTTCTTCTTCTCTCTACTCTTTCTACTTGATATACCAGCAACTATAGCACTGTCAAATACATCCTAAACATTCAAACAATTCAAATATATTTTAGAAAATTAATTTCAGAAATGCATTTTTAGTAAAATGAAAAAAGTCAAATTGTTCATAATTCTATTTAAGAGACTGTAAGCGTAATTCTAAATGATATCTATGTTTTTGTTTCTTTAAACTGTTTATTTTCATTTGTGATTTCTCTTCGAAAGTGACTTGCGCATTTCTTGCTTATAAGCAGCAATGGAGAAACTCACAGAAATCAGACAGAAAAACGACGGTATCTTCCGCATATTTTTTCAGATAAAGGTTTCAAGGGTACCGTTGTAAATCGGGTATTGCTATCTTTGCATGGAGGCTCACTTGAAATCACATTTACAGTTCTTTTAATGCAACTTTAAATCGATCATTAGAAGAATTTGAATTCAAATTGTTATTTCCTTAAGATTACGCTGAGTCAAGGAACTGCACTCGACATACATCTCACAACCTTAAAATAATTTATTGATTAAAATAGGGATATTAGTATATTATTCCTGATTTGGCTACGTAGTAAATCCGACAAGAATGTGGTATAATAAGCGATATATGCTTTGTTTTTATCCCCCCCCCCTTTTAAAAATCCGTTTTCCCAACACTTTGTGTAAAATGTTTTTTTTTATGGTTATTGTGCTGATTGTTGATTGCTGAAAAAGGAAACTTTTCTTGTTTAAAGGGAAAAATAAATAAAATTTTGGATATAAGTCAAAAGTTATGAAAAAACTTGCTAGTACAATTCCAATTTTTTTTATCAAGCTTAAAAATATCTCTGAAACTTCACCTCCCCCCACACCCCACCCCACCTATAAGTTTATTCTAAAAAATATTGTTGTAATGGTTACCTAGAGATTGTGCTAGTTTCCTAGCCTCGTGTTCCTGGACCGGGTGCTCTTTTGTTTGTCGGAGCTGAACCAAGGTTTTAGCGTCCTCCCGGAGATCAGATTGAGTTCCAACCAGGACAACAGGAACCTTACCACAGCTGGCACGCACCTCAGGGATCCACTTCTCTCTACACAACAATTATTTTATTATTTGAATAAAAAATCATCAATTGAATAATTTGATTAATCGCGCCCCACCCCTTTTAATCACTGTAGATCTGGTCACCTAAAATATTTTTTTTAAAACATTTAAAACAAAAAAATCAAGTTTTTTTCAATTAAAAGTTCCCCCATTCCCAAAAAAGCAATGAACTAGTCTTTGTAAACATACACTAAAATTTGTAAACGTATACTAAAATTTGTAAACATACACTAAAATTTGTAAACATACACTAAAATTTGTAAACGTACACTAAAATTTGTAAACGTATACTAAAATTTATAAAC